CTGCAGCCGCCGCGGTGGGGGATGTGGCACGTCGCGGTGCCGCTGGGGTGTAGCTTATTCCTGATGCCGCTGTTTGTCGCCGAGTTTTGAAGAGATTTATTGGCTGGCTCTTGCTAAACCACGCTTGAGTAATCCGAGCTGCTGCGCGCCGTGGTGAAGCCCGGAGGGGGGGAACGTCACTCCCTCTGGCAGCGGAGAAACATTAGTCTTCCAGCCCTCAAACCACCACTACAGCGTCGGAAACTGCCGGGTCACAGCCATTTGCTTTGGAAAATTGGCGATGTTTGGTGCTAGAGATCGATTACCCTTGTAATCTTTCCCCACCCGCCACCTCCTCCTGCTTACCCCACCCCTACCCGCCCCAGACAATAGCGTCCGAGCTCCTCCGGGAAAAAAATAGAAAAGAAAGCAAGAGAGAAAGAAAGAAAAAGAAAGAAACTGGGGGATGAATCTGACTCCAATAGGAAAAGCGTGTCTCTAGAAGTGGTGCTAATGGGAAGAGATTTCCGAGCTCCAGAGGACGATGATTTGTCACAAAGGGTAGCTGGCTCGGTGCTTTGGGCTGGAGCCGTGTAGGAGATCCTTGGAGAAGTCATTGTGCACAGAAAACCGAAGACCTATACAAACATGCCTGTTCGCAGAGGTCATGTGGCACCACAAAATACATTTTTGGGTACAATTATACGAAAATTTGAAGGGCAAAGTAAGTTCTCGCTTTCTATCTATTTTGCTATAGTAGTTTTATTCTGCTTGCGACTAAATGGACAGTAGCTCCAGACTATTTTTAAGTTTGTAGCTTGCAAAGAAAACCCCGGAGGTAAGGAGGGGATCCCTGGCAGAAGTAGCAATGTTTTTGATCTAGAATGCAGATTACTAACTTGAATTATTGGCTAGTGGGCTTGTTTGGGTTTGGGTTTTTTTGGGAGGGGGGTTGGGGCTATTTCCCCATCCTATTTCAAGGAATAGTTTTTATCGTTGATTGTATCCATATTGTACAGCTATAGAAGTTATATCTCTTACCTTCTTCTGAACCACTGAGATGTCTCTAAAGGCAGAATGTAGAATCTTGCTGTCTTTGCAATGTCTAAAAAATAGGCTAGATTTATTATTATGATTGTTAATGCTGTTAATAATAATTGCATTTTCAAAATAAAGCAGAAGTTCAGACTTTGATTTAGAGGAAACAGAAAATATGCAGAAGAGTTATTAAAGAGGAAATACTCTCTTACCTTGTTGTCATGACTGCATTTAGATATAGCTGTCAAATTTCTCTTTTTTTTTTTTTTTTATGTAAGTCTGAAATATCTATCAAAGCAGTGCAAATGCATCCTCAGGGAGAGTCTGTGAGATCTTTTCCAATGCAGCAGTTTACTACCTGTCGAGGAGGCTGAAGCTTAAGTGCTTTTTTTCCTGGCCAGAATTCTGGTTTCCTATTAGCTGTAAGAAAGGTCACTTGATGCTTAAAATGAATTTAATTTAGAAACAGTAGTCTGATATATGTACATTGATTTAAATATTTAGCATAATTTTAGTATCAGCCTGGTGTGAGCCCTTACAGGTAATTCCAGTTCATATACTTCCATATACTTAAACCCATATTAGCATGTGTAATATTTACATTTTTTGAGAAAAAAATAAAGACAGTGCTACTCCTTATATATCTATATTAAGTTGGTGTTGCTACTCCAAGTTTTCACGTAGTGAAGTGTAGATTTTTTGACAGTAATAATGCACTAGCTACTAAATAGATAAGTGATAGTGAAAGTTCAACATGATTGAAAGATAGCAGCAAAAGTAAGAATGAAATCTGCTGATATGTTGCTGTGTTCAAAGACAGACATATTTAAAATTTTGAAGACATGCACTGTTTACACTTGGTGTCATGTAAAAATCTTTTAGAAAGCAAGCAATCGCCTTGTGAATTTGAGTAGCTAAAAATTAATGTTATTAGCAGTAAGTGTATCACAGTCACATTTATAATTACAATGGGAATAGTGTGTTTAAAAGGTAAACAGAAACAAACTAGTAAGAGTTGAAAACTTTTGAACATGTCTGAGATGAGAGTTTGGGAAAGGAAAATGGATGTTAACACAGAACTTCAGTGAAATTTGCAAAATGTTCCCAACATAACAATTGTTTCATGTTTTTTTGTTTTTAGGAACTTTTCTTCAGGTACATCCTAGATAGATTTATTAAAATAATATAAATTTATTGTCATTCACCTCAATAAAAACCCCTATAGAGTAGATTGAGATGGACCTTACATCAGGAAGCCCTTCCCTAAAGTAGGACCCCCTTCCCGAGGCTCTACTTTTCCCCAAAAGAAGCTGCTAACTTTTCAAGGACTTTCCTGGAGTTGTGACTGACGGGCCCACACTCATGGCTTGGGCTGCAGTGATGCCTGAAACAGACAAAATTTTGAAGTCAAAAGGAGATTTACAGAGACTTATATAGTCTGGTTTTATTTCCTTATAAAAGGAATTATATTAATCTCTAATTTATTCTAAATTAATTGAAGTTTCTTTAAAAGTTATGGATCAAATGATCTTCATTAAATGACTGAAAATCTCTGTATTTCAGGCGTTCTGTGAAAAGAAGGGTTGTTCAGCATTCATCTCTGCAATCGACCCTATAAGAAATGTTGAAAGAGCACTAAAAAATGCATCACTTTCTTTTATTGCAGATAAAAAATTCATCATTGCTAATGCAAGAGTGCAGAATTGTGCTATCATCTACTGCAATGATGGGTTCTGTGAGATGACCGGGTTCTCCAGGCCAGATATCATGCAGAAACCTTGCACCTGTGATTTTCTTCATGGGCCAGAGACCAAAAGACATCATATTGCCCAAATTGCTCAAGCCCTGCTGGGGTCAGAGGAGAGGAAAGTAGAAGTCACCTATTATCACAAAGATGGTAAAGTCTGGTTTTATTTTCAAAATTATTTTTGCATGTTTGGTTAGCAGTTGATCGGTAAAAGAAGTGTGTATGTTGTATTGGCCGGCCCCTTTGCTGGAGGTGTTGTAATTTCTCTGAAGTCCAGTGAAATACGTTTGTGCATGTCAGTAAGGAAATCTGCCCTGAGAGTAGTGGGTGTATGGAGTATGTCACTGCACACTCACTCTAGCAGCTGAATGAAGCCAGCACAGTGTTTGCAACTCTGGAACAGAAGTTCTTCTCTCAGTTGGTTTAAAGAAGATGTAAATCACTTAATGTAATCAGCATAGAGGAAACGTACCTTGACTGAAATTCAATATTTTACCACAAAGTTAAAAGTAGAAAAAACCAGCCCATCATAAAGAAAGCATTAGCTTATAAAGAAAGGGACAAGCCTTTTTCCAAGCTGAGATATTGTGAAGTACCTGCAATTGAACTACCGACATTGTCCTAGTATTGCCAGAATCAAAACTTGGGTTTGCCTAGACTATGAACTATTCCCTGTTATTCAGTAAAAAGTCAATACATGCAGAATGGCTGAATCTGCTGATATTATTTTCTTGTTAAGAGCAAAAAATTAATAAATGTATTTGCAGTTTTTAAAATGCACATACATAAGAAGTAATTATGATACATATTAGTTTTATGTAGAGTTTTGTTGTTGATTGTTTTTTTTTTAATTACCCAGAGTTATTTACAGAAACACCCATCTTTCAAATGAATTCAAATAATTGATAATTGTGGTGTACCTTATTTTGTCTCTTGCTGTGTACACTCTTGGGAGAAGGAAAAGGAAATTCATATTCAAATGGTGAGCTTAAATTAGTTCTGGAGAAGTGCCAGTGTGTTGTTTACATCAATTTTAGAATCACATGCAATGTGCTCTCTCATTTTAAAGTCACAGAGTTAAATCCTGTTCTCAATAATTCTGTTGTTATCATGGAGAGACTTAAGGAATATTATTTTTAGCTTAGGCTGGTATAATTCAGATAGGACTCAGGCCAGCCATTCTGCCCACGCTACCAGTATTTAAACATACTCCTGGTAGGAGATTCTCAGTAGAGCCCTTTATTCTTAGATCCGGTTTGGTGGTCGGGAGCAGATTTCGGTTAAGATTTTTTGTAGCTGTGCCTTGGATGTAGATTTCCCAGGAGAACTGACACTGTGTGTCTTTTACACATCTACCCTCTGTTTGTGTTAACTTGGCATGTGTTAAAAATAATATTGCAAAAGGAGAATGTTATTGCTAACTTTCACAGCCATCAGCCTGGAGCACTGTTTGGAGATGTGGTAGTTTAAAAGTCCTAAAGTCTCCCAAAACATTAGGAAGGAGGAAAAGGCCTTTAAAAGTACTGCTTATCTGTCAATTACCAGAGGAAGATTAGATAGATGGATAGATAGATAGATAGATAGATAGATAGATAGATAGATAGATAGAAAGAATATATCCTTTTCTAAAATGCTGAATTCTGAAATCATGCAGCACACCATAATCTCTTTGAGACATACCAAAGAAATCCTGTCCATAAAAGTTGCCATATCTTTCATAAATAGTTTTGAAAGCAGAGTTAGAGATTATTCATTGTAAACAATCTTATGCATAAGGGTTTTCAGTAACATCACTTCTATGAATAGTTACTTTAATTGTCTCAATATTTTACTTGTCTAAATTTAAGCATGTGGACTGTATGATCTGCTAAATTTAAGCAGGTGAATCAGGCAAAAATTTTCAAAATACAAGATAGGTCTGACACTCAAATGCATGGCTATCTGTCAGCTTGATTGTCTGTATACACATTTTTTTTGTTTTGATCCACATAATGTTCAATTTCTTTTAAAATGTGTTAGAAAGCCTTAAGTCTGTGTGGTGTCATGAAATTGAAATTACCTGTATGATGAATGTAATGAATGTTAGTAAACATATCCTATAGTTCTTCTAAATAACTCAAAAAGATAACACCTCACTTTTCATCTTCACTTTTTCAAATTTTCAAATTTGATTTTTCAATATATAGCATATATACATACACCTATATATAACATAGTCTGTATATTGTAACAATATACAGAATAGTGATACCTAACAAGGACTTCCTCCAGGTTGTGAAACAAAGTAAATTTCAAGAGTTTTCTAAAAATGTCAGAGTTTAGTGCCTGGTTAGTGGCTTATTTTGCATTTGTGCTCTGAGTATGAGGCTTGAGGTCAATTTCAGCAATTTTCAATTTTCAGAGGTCAATTCTAGCACAGTCAGAAATGTAACTTTCTACATGTGAGTAACCCAAGTTACTCCAATGAACTATCCACTGCTTAAAAGCTAAATTTGATGTTTTATTTCATGGCAAGCCACTGTATAATATTTAACGTAATTCTAAACATACCGAGGAGGAAGACACCTCAAGAAGCTGTGAATTGCTGGAGGTTCTACTGACCAGAGGTTCTGAGGACCATATTACACACTCCTGACTAAAAGCCCAGTGAATTGCAAATAAAATCTTATTCCACATCACACTATCATTTACTCTCCAAAAGCCACTGATTATATTAAAAATTGTTCTAATATTTTGAAGTAAAGCAAATGTCAATGGGATCACTTTTAAAGCTAATCTGTCATCAGAATTCCAGCAATGCAGATATCAGAAAGGGAATCACTCTATAAATAATGCTTTTTCTTTTTGATTCTAAATACCACCTCATATAATTTTAAAATGTCACAGCTTTGAAGCTCAGCTTAAAAGAAAATTCTTGTTATAGAAAAGTGGTATTGCACACACACACGGGAATTAGGATTCTGATGTTCTCTACTGGTCTATAGTCCACTTTTCTAGATGAAAGTGCAGGATCTCAAGTTTTAAACATCGTGATGATGCAAGACTGAAAGCTGCTGTTTGTTCACTGCTTTAATTTTTGGCCAGATTACTCACTCAAAGAAGATGGGACAGAAGGATGGGAAAACAAATATTGCAAGTTCATATTAAAAAAATGGCAATTACTTGAATCTACACTGCGTTAAACATGACAGACAAAAGATAAGAGTGGTCAAAGGAGAAAAAAAATTTATGCATGAGGGTTTAATAAATGAGTAACCTGGATGGACCCTGTTTCCCTTTTCACTGTGCAGTGTGGGGAGGGTGCAGAGAAGCATCAAATGCTTGTGATGGCTTTGTGTAATTGTTTAGGTGGCCCACACTTGGGTGCCCAGCATGATCTGGGCACCCAGCAGGCCCTGTCCCAGCCACACCAGTGCTGCCTTCACAGCAGTTTTTTGACATTTGCAGCTAAAATCCTTACTAGCTTTTCTCATAGTACTTCTATCAGAGTGTAGTTTGCTTTTTGTTTGAATTTCTCCTCTCGCTTTTTCCTTTTAGAAAGGTATTAACACAGTCCAAGCAAAGTTCTAGTCCTCTGTCCTCTTCAAGTAGTGCCACAGTAGGCAATTACATATCTACTGAAAGAGTTAATTACTGAGAAAAATCATCAATGGGAACAGATGGTGCCAAAACTAAAGGTCCAAATTTACAGGTTCTCATAGCACAAGTAGCTCCATAGTTGTCGCTGGGTGTACTCCTGGGATTAAAGACACATAAAATTTCTTTTTTATCCCTTTTTAAAAAGAGCAGTAGATAAATACAAGTCACAAGAAGTATTATTTTGAAACAGATTTTTTTTTTCCAAGGATTGCCCATTAGGTATTAACATCTGCTTAATTAAAAAATTGTACTCTGATATCAAAGCAGCAATATCATAAATTCCTTACTATCTCAAAATTTTTTTCACTAGTCTTATAGCTATATGATCTGAATTATACTTGAAGGCAAGATATTGTTTATACAGGATATCAGTTCTTATTTTAATAAAGTTATTAATGGTGAAAATATTTGACAGCTCTTCCTTTGAGGACTCCATTTTGCAGTTTAAGTCGTTATTGCATAAATCATTCTTGACAGATGTAAAATATTGCTTGAGGTGGTAAAGCTGTAAAACTTTTGAGATAAAAAGTATAATTATTTTGGGATTGAGAATGGATATATATAATAATCAGAAAATACTGTACTACACAGAATACATTTTTACTGTATGCTTTGTAGGCAATAATGAGATTTGTCTAAGCTTGCAGATGATATCTATTAAAGGAAGGTAGGATCATTTAAGTTCAGCTTAAATTTAAGCTTAGCCATCATATATTCTAGTGTTGAGAAGAACTAAGGTAGAGTATAGGTTTGAGCAAAGATAAGATCAAGCAATTTGCAGAATGTGTACAAACCTCATAAACTACTTGCCATTTACCAGTTTCAGAAAACAATTTGCCACAACTGACTACAAATTAAACATACTTGCATTTTCAAAGCACATTTCCAAACGAATATCTTAAGGCCCTTTCTGCTCTTTTTTTGAGGATAGGAGAATAAAAGTTGTGCGAACATGGTAATGAAATAAAGTGAAAATGGTATTAAGAGTTCTTAAGAAAGATAAGGACTTCATTTAGAAACTCATCGTCTAGACTTCAGCCAGCATAGGCGTTGTACTACCTGTTTGTATGAACTTACCAATCAATAAAAAACACAACTGAAAAGAAAGCTGCTTACATATGTGTCAAGTCCCCTTAGATTTGTTTTAGCATGAGGGTCAGTAATTGCAGTCCTGACCACAGTTTCAGTGCCTTATCCGGAGCTGTTGAGATAGGCCAATGAATCCAATCTCTCTGATACCCTGCTGCTGTAGGACTCCTTGACAGAAGAAATACTATCTGACTGCATTTTGATAAAGTGTTTCCCCCCCAAAAAAACCCGTCAAAAACCCTTTCTTAATCCAGGGGTTTTTTTTCCCAGGCATTCTTCAAATACCTCTTGGCTGAAATCCAAACTGTTACTGAAAGTGTTGGACTTTTGGAAACAAAAGAGGATATCCATTCTTGTGTCTGTAGTGCTGTGTTTCTACCTTAGGCTTTAATACTTGTCAAGAAAAAAACATCCCCATTCAG